ACAAACACCAACAATTTCAGTGCTGCGACGTTCCACGCTACATGTTTGTACAGACAAAAAAGGTCTCTTAAGACGAGATATATTAGTTTTAGTAGAGTTTTTACGGCGCTCGCAACTGTATAATGTCATATGACCGCCAAGGGGTGGATGTCAACAGAGAAGTCAACAGGGAATCAGACTTACTCTACTCACCTCTCTAGCTTCAACAGCACAAAGTCTGCTTAGAATACCAAGGCACCCCGGAAATAGCCGGTCACCAGAGTGTAACGAAAATACAAAAGAAGTAGAGGAAAAATGACGATAGAAAGGATTTGGAAAGAAAAAGCAGCAGTTCCCCCTTTGCAGTTCAGGAACAGTTATGAGCATGACATTGATAAATCAGCCCATTTACCATTTTACTCTGCATAAGCGTATGTTAATGTCCCCCACTTTGGGAATGGCCTAAAAACACTTCAGTCAGTAGAACCGCCCCGGGGGTGCCAGATATTTAAAGAAAGCCATACTAATACCTTTCCCCTTTGTAAGAATTTGCAACTGCACAAACGGCAATTCCATTTTTTCTGTAGAGTTTTCTAATATATCAGTTTAAAAAAAAGAATTGGCAGCGAACCAGTTTGGGAGACAATAGTAATACGTTAACACAACAGTGAAGTGTTTCATCATTGCCTTTCTCACCCTGCACCAGAGTATAGTCCACAGACAAACACTTTCCACTTTTCTTTATCCTGAGCTAACCTCTTGATGTTATTTCGTGTCTTCCCACTTTTCTCTACATCAATTTATGTAATTCTTCTCCAGGTTCCACGCGGTCTTCCCTTAGATATTTTACCATGTGGATGAGTGAAGTGGTTAACGACGTGATAACGAAGACTGAAACAAACGATTTCCTACCTGTAGATCCTCATAGCACATGATGCAGATGTTGAGATCTTTGTGTTCGTTGATGGCTCTCTCCCAGCTGGCGAGCCAGTCAAAGATACAGTTGCTGTCCACCAGACCGTCCACAAACCTGTCCACGAGACAAAAGACATGGGAGTTTTTGTTTTGTTCTGGTTTTTTAATTTTTTTTTAAGGTAAGTGTTTTACGGCGCTCGCAACAGCATGACGTCATATGAGCGCGCAGGACTCATTAAACATTTTCAGTTGGTAGAATCTAGGAAATTTTGAATTTTGCCCTGGTGGCGGCCGAAGCCTACTCTTATCGCTTTTGGAACCACCAAGGGATCTTTAACGTGCGCAACTTGCACACGGGCCCTCCGAGATTTTTAGCTCTTGTCTGAGAAAGCTAGGTGTAGATCTTTCCTACCAGAAGACCAGGTGTGGCTGAAAGACACCAGTAAGAAGAAGCAGTAGAAAGGCTGCAGAAAGAGTCAGGAGCCCAGAGGAGGGGGGCAAAGGAGGTAAGGGGGTGGGGGCAGAAAGTGGAAACGAAAGCAGACGACAGAGAATCGTTAGAGAGCAGGAAAAGAGGTGAAAGAGACAATTGTAGAGAAGAAAAATTTTCCGTCGCTACCCGTATTCGAACCCGGGACCTTTGAATGAGAGGCGAAAACCTTAACCTGTAGGCCACGAGGGCCCCCACATAGGAGTTTTTATATGACACCAAAGTCTAAAAGGCTTATTATGCGATCAGTTAAAACTGACAGCTGTCCTTTCTCTTTGTGATTAGAAAATACTGCATGATGCAAAATCGGTAAAAACAAACAAACAAATATAAGAACAAAAACAAACAACAACAAAACCCCCAACATAAAACCAAACAAACAAATCAGCACACATGTTTGTGGGGCAGCTGTCAGGTGCTCGTCCTT